TTAGTCTTACTGCCTGCGTATCATTAGCGTGTCGCCGCTCAGATTTTTCTTCTGTGTTAATTGCTTTAAATTTTCTCGTTTTTTCCCTAGACCGTTTAACAAATTATCAGTATGATCTTACCTTATACCTGTGAGTTGTGCTCCAGCCATCAAATGCACTGCTTTGTGTTCTGAAGATACATTTTTACTCCAATAATATGGTCTCCATCGTTGACACTTCATTTGAACAAACACTCAAGCACAAAATTGTAAGTACCTATTGGCTTGTTTCAATTCAAAGCACAATCTAAGTAATTTAATTACTTCAAAGACAAAATCAATTACATATCCTTGTATCCCTATGTAATTTTTGCTGCTTTCTTTCTTTTAAATCAGAGTAACAGCGATGTCACTCATGCAATTCTAAACGCGCGGTTCATTCTTCAATTCAACATTTGTCTGGTTATGCTGTTAATTTAATATGTTTCTTTTTAGTTAAATTTTTCAAATGTTGATGGAAAGTATCCCCGCGGCAGCTTTGCAACTCGGCGGCAAAGCTACGAGCCTCTCCCATCATGACTGTTTTGTGGTTTGCATTCTTGACAGCGTGGGGGAGATGGTTTGTAGCAAAAATTTTCACCTTCAAACTACTTGTATTAAAGGTACATTCACGCTATTACTGTAATAGGGCGGAGGATGAGCTTACTTCAAGAGGAATTGGACGAAACTTCTGGTGAGCCTGTGTTTTTTTAACTTTTTCTATCATCATATGTTTTTTTTTTCCCCTTCATTTTTCTGTTGAAGAAAAACTGCAAAGCAGTGAGAATGGATACCCATGTACTTTTGCTTCTATACTGTTTACAATTTTTTATAACAGATTCTCATCAGACCGAGACCTTGACTCATTGGAATTCAACGATCAGGATCATTCAAGCTGGTTTGGATTCAACGATCAGGATCATTCAAGCTCGTTGAAATGCAACGATCAGGATCATTCAAGCTGGCTGGGATTCAACGATCAGGATCATTCAAGCTCGTTGAAATTCAATGATCAGGATTATTCAAGCTCGTTGGAATCCAATGATCAGGATCATTCAAGCTCGTTGGAATCCAATGATCCGGATCATTCAAGCTCGTTGAAATCCAATGATCCGGATCATTCAAGCTCGTTGAAATCCAATGATCCGGATCATTCAAGATCTTGAACGTTGAAATCCAATGATCCGGATCATTCAAGCTCATTGAAATCCAATGATCCGGATCATTCAAGCTCATTGAAATCCAATGATCCGGATCATTCAAGCTCATTCGGGCGCATTAAAATTCAATGATCAAGTGAACGATCTGGATCATTCAAATTTGAATGAGCTGACGAAAAACTCATTCAAATTGAATGATCCGGATCGTTCATTTTTCAATGAGCTTGAATGATCCATTTTTTCTCGGGGCCCGAGTTAGGTTATCTGTTTTCGTTTCACTGATTCAATTAATTCATGCCACACTGGAAAAAAAACACATTGGATCTAGATTCTAGACTCTTAAAAACATTGACAAGAAAAAGGACTCTTGATTCAATCAGATTCAAGCTTAAATCAAGAACCAAGCTTCTTCATTTGAGCGGATTTCCTTTTGCTTTAAGCTTAAATCTGATTGAATCAAGAAACCTTTTTCTTGTCAATGTTTTCAAGAGTCTGGACTCTAGATCCAATGTGTTTTTTTTTCCAGTGCATATATGGATATTTGAAGCCAATAAATTGATCTCAAGTGATTGAACCGATTCTATCAATTTGGAAAAGAAATTAAAAATATCATCATCTCAGCTAGGCAGCGTTGGAAATAAGAAAATCGTTCCGTCCAGTGGAACGTGCATTTCCCATCGGAAATCTGCCCTCATTTCTCCCGCCGCCTTGCTGCGCCACTTCCTCGTGGCGGCTTCTACTCATCCTCAAAATATTTAATTTTCCTCTTGCAAATAGGGTCTGTTCTCCGTGCCGTTTAATAGGCCGATATAATGCCTCGCTGTGACGGCTGGGTGGACGCTTTGAATATATTCGCGGACCGAATTCGACCCACCGTCATACAACGTGGAGCAGAACTAAAAAAAAAATCAGCTTGAATTGACTGACCGTGACAGAGCAACCGACGCACTGTGGAAGTCCGATAGTGTTTCTCTGGACATGATTTTCTCAAATATTGTCAAGAACTATTTGAATGGAACATTTATTTCAAAAGATTTTCCTACACTGGAAAAAAAAACACATTGAATCTAGAGTCCAGACTCTTGAAAACATTGACAAGAAATAGGACTCTTGATTCAATCAGATTTAAGCTTAAATCAAGAACCAAGCCTCTTAATTTGAGCTATTTTACTTTTGATTTAAGCTTAAATCTGATTGAATCAAGAGTATTTTTGCTTGTCGATGTTTTCAAGAGTCTAGACTCTAGATCCAATGTGTTTTTTTTTCCAGTTTACTTTCTTGAAAGCTATCATTGATACGTTCTACTTCACTCCTCCGTTTACAATGTTTCCCTTTCGTCCTTTGTAAAGCCGATTTCAACTCTGGCTTCACTATCTTTTCGCAATTCGTATCAAAAAATAATAAAATATGTATATTGAATCGGTTGAATTACAAGAGAATTATACTTCTGAACAAATTAATACATTTCTAAGGGTACATTTAATGAAAATTCCGCCGAGCACAATCGACAAGTTTGAAATTTTGTTGTTTCACGTGAAATGTACGTAGAGCACGCTTTCAAATCTCCCGCGTATATGGTCATTTTAATTTCGTTTTTGAGAGCAGGTTTGCCCAGGATATGTTAAAAAACCCGGACCAAAATAAAAAAGCAATCTCGCAAACTGTTCTTCATGTTTCTGACCAACAATAACTGCCTACGAACAAGGCAAAACAATTATTTCAATTCTCATATAAAAGGGTCCAATGTGTCGGAGCACTTCGGCAACTTTCGAGATTGTTGGAAATTATATTTTGCTTAAGTTTCCTTGGATTTTTTTAGGCAAACCTGCAGATTTCAAATTCAAGAGAAAAAAGTTGAGCGCACGGTCGCGGGAAATTTGAAAATGCTTGACACAGACCGAACAAAGTGTACGTTGAAGAATGGGTTTCAGACTTTTATTACGCGCTCATTAAACTATTTTGCCGTTTTTCTATTCATTTACTTATACCTCTCTTTCTGTAAGAAACTCTCAATGCACTGGAAAAAACACATTGAATCTAGAGTCTAGACTCTTGAAAACATTAAGAAGAAAAAATGCTCTTGATTCAATTGGATTTTTGCTTGAATCAAAACAAAATCCGCTTAAATTAAGAGGCTTGGTTCTTGAATTAAGCTAGATTATGATTAAATCAAGAGTATTTTTTCTTGTCGATGTTTTTAAGAGTCTGGACTCTAGATTCAATGTGATTTTTTTTCCAGTGTAGCCCTCCATTCTTTTTTGCAACACTATCCTGCAATACGTAAGCACCGCCTATAGTGTAATGAAATTATCGGAATCCAAAACTGAAACATTCAATTGGTTCAGATTTTATGCAGGATTGTCACGTGGTTTCCCTACCTCTTAAAGTTTGCCCACAGTGCGGTGGAACGGCAATTCGTGAGCTCAAATGACCGAGATAAATTCACACCTAGTCGCCTTCCCTTGTATTCGATCTGCATCCGACTTGCGGTCAATACACTGTGGACTAGACTCCCCAATAATGGGCGAAAAGTAATTCCGGATTTGGATAATTTTACCGTTTAATTCTTTGTCAAAATTTATATTTTGACACTCGTTAAGTGACGTCGCGTCGTTGATATTTGTTGAAAACTAATGTTGATGACCCGATGATTTATCTCTCTTTTTTTTCTTTATCTTTTTTTATGAAAAAATACGCAAAATTCCTTTTCAACGGCTCTGATGGGTAGATGTGCAGAACATCCTGCAGACCAGAAGTAATTTAACCATTGTCAATTTCCGGACAAAATATTACAAGCTCCTTGCGACGTCTCGAAATTTTCGCCGCCCTTTTTCTTATTATAGCACAGAAATTGTTGGTTGAATCTGTTTGAAAAGTTCAATGAATTTTATGAGTAGCACAATGAAAATTCAATTAAAAAACTTCTGCACAAACTTCAAGGAATGATCTCGATTTTTTCTCCTTTAAAAAAATTACATAGAGGCGGAGATTTTCAGACATCGCAAACGAGATATGTGATTGCCTCCTTACACCGTCGATACAGGTTAACTGTTCAGAAAGAGCTGGGAGTAGTGTGCAAAAATAAAGTGAATTTTGATAAGATGAATCTCGTAATTTTATTACATAATATTAATGATTGTTATTCTTGACCTGCGACTCAACACCTATCTTCATATATATTGGCGCTGAAGACTTGAAATTTTGACCAATTTCAGTATTAAAAAATTGTTTGCAATAAGATTTGTCGACTGATTTTTTTTTTTCATTTTGTAATTTTTTTCTTTTTGTTATTTCTAGGATCAACCCCGACCGCCAACTTACAATCCGGAGGACTACGCTGCAGGGTTGAAAAAATTCAGCCGCCGAGTGGGCGAAAACAAGGATGAAAGCGGATCCAAGCAAAACGAAGCCCCAGAGGCCGAGATGTCACTGCGACAATTCACCGGGGTCACCGAACTCCTCACCAAACTTAAAACTGATCTCCGTGTTGCTTACCCGAGGTAAACACCAAAAACAACTTACAACTTTCAAACCTAACTTTCACCATTACACGTGTTCACCGAGAGCGGCTTCATGCATAATTTTTAATGAGAATCGTTTTTTTATAAACCGAGGCTCTACTGAACATAAGAATGTTGATGACTATTACTCGTCGTTGATACTTCGATTAATTCCAATAAGTCCATATTGCTTCACGGTCTTAGGGTGGAAATTCCATTTGGGAAACGAGATATACAATTATACAGGATGTCCGGAAGTTAACGTACTTAACGATCAGGGTCGATTTTTCGGCTCAAAATATGACTTTTCCCCCTGTACAAAAAAGTCCGAAAAGGCCCCATAAGTAATCCTGGTTTGGAAGCGTATAGCTATACGCTTCCAAAGTTGCCATTTTTTTTCTTTCGAATTTATGTAACTCCATGTTCTTTTGTCGTTAGTAGCTGAAACTTTAAAGAGGGGGGTATATATTAGCTTACTGTTAATTTTTTGTGTTTCAAGGACTTACGTCTTCGGAAATTGATATTACGAGCGTTCCCGAATTATAAACTTGCGATAACATTTTTGGTAGATGATATTTATAGGACGAAGTTTCGTTAGTTAGGTTGATTGTCTGAATAAAGCCTACCACTTGATATTTAAATTTTTTACGACTTTTTTCGCTTTATCTCGATGTTCAGTCTCGACTCTTTATTTTTAATTTTTAATTATTTTTTTTCAATCAGTTTTGTGCAGGAATTCATCGGTGACCCACTAGATGGAGTGACGTTGCTGCTAGACATGCTTAAAACAATTCAACAGAGCCAATCGCAGAACCAAGGCCGGGGGGCCTCATCCGCACTGCAAAGACGAATCCTCCTGGACGAGCACGCTTGCCTCTTGTGCCTGAAATACTGCCTCAGGTGTCAGGATGCTCCTCGGAGGTTCGCGTCCTCGCCTGCAGGTCTCTTCACTATTGCCGCTTGCTTCATGAGCAATGCAAATAAATCTAGGATCCTTGCCCTTGAGGTGAGTCTCCTCCATAACTGGACCGCGTTAAGCAGGAAGGAACCAAGCCACATCAGCTACTTCATTTATTCTGGAAAAAAGTTGCTTGATTTGGAGTCCACACTCTCAATAACATTGACAAGAAAAAATATTCTTGATTCCAGCCGAGTTTTCCTTGAATCGAAGAGTCGAGCCTCTTGATTTAGGCGGATTTTCTTTTGATTCAAGCAGAAAGTCCGATTGAATCAAGAGTATTTTTTCTTGTCAATGTTTTTAAGAGTCTCAACTAGATCCAAGCGACTTTTTGGGCAATTCAATTTTTTTACAAGAAAACGTTTGTGCGGATATATTTAAAAATTTTAAGGAATTTTTCACTGAAATTTGAAAAAAAAAATCCTCATCACCGTTTTCACGCGAAAACGTAAATGTCCTAGTTTTATTTGGCAACAGCTGTCGTGGCTGGGTTCCTTTCTGCTAAACGCGGTCCACCTGTCATTTTAGAACCTCGGATAGAAACTCAAAATGAAGGAAAAAATCTCATGTCATAAAATCGAATGAAATCATACTTAAAATATGAAATTTAAAACGAGTGAAAGTTCATGGTGTGAAAAAACTCAAAACTGAGCAAGTGAAACTAAAGCTCATAGTCGTGTTTCACAGACATGAATTTTATGCAAACAACAGCTGCAAGTATCAACGAGAGGTTAATACTCCTCTCACATTGTTTTTCACGTCCGATCAGTACGCCTTCAATAACTCGATAGGCAATATGGGCTGCTTAGGAGCAGTAATAGTTGCTCGTCAGATTTTGGCTACGATCACTCTGTTTGTTCATACTGTAGCGGCTTAATACTTCACTAATATTATATTTACGGATGAGTAAGTCAGAATCTGGGGTGAAAATCGCCGCAGAGTCCGCGCAGAAGAATCTTGGGAGACAATTTTTGCCCCCTAGCCTCCGCTGTGGTATGCATTTGGTGAAAAAAGGGCGTTTAAAGCTTTGCGGAAACTTCATGTTGATCGGGTTGAAAGATGAAAAATTTACAGGTAAATCGTTTGCACTTGTATCTCTTTCCAAAAATTAAAGGAGGAGAAATAGAAAAAAAAGTAGTGCAGAATTTACACCTTGCAGGCATACATAAAATAATGTGCCATGGGCTCATTGTCAGATGCGGCCAGGCTAGCTGGATACAGGGGTGCAGAGCACGGAGAAAATGAGATGGTGAAAAAATTGATCTTGACGATCGGCGACCACTTGGTTTGGATTGCGGTGAACCGTTAACGCAAACACATGATTGGAGTCCGTAATAGTCCCGTAGCGGTGTTGCCTTGCGTTCTCGAAATCAAGGTTGCCAGGCCATGAATTGGAATGGATATATCTGGTTAAAACGGGGGAAAAGTGCTGATTTTCTAGCAAAATCTGGCATAAGTGCTCGAAATAGCGATTCAAGTAGCGAGCTATTCTGAAAACAAAACAAAAATATTTAGTCACGCGTTTATGCAATAAAACTGTGTAAACATTTTTTTGTATAAAATAGAAAGAGAGATCTCAAAGTGCCAGCACTCAAAAACAAGTTCCTTCAAGGGACTTAGGTATTGTAATTTCGAGAAAAAATATAAATATACAAAAATTAAATTCAAGACAATTTGTAATTGCTCTGATTCGTTATTTTACAGTAATCTCATATTTTTATTGATATAATGCTCGATTTTGAAATTAGACGGTCACGGTACTCGACCTATGCTATGCGTCAATTGGGCCCTAGAAAATAAAATCTCAGTGATATCTAATGCAAATGGCAATCTCTTAGCAGTACTTGGTCCCTCCCTAAAAATGTTGCGTCATTCTTCCGCCCAAAACAAGACTTCTAATCTTTCATCTCCATCGCTTAAACTAATTTTCTTATTCTTGTTAACTGTCTCTTCTTTTGGTGTCCCGATGTACTTAAGGAGCATTATGACATTTTATAAACTTGACCCGTTTACGAAAAAAATAACAATTTTTTTATGGCCTTTTGGAGGAACAAAGGCTCCATCTCCCGGAAAAATTCTCCAAGGTTGGTTAGGAAAAAGGAGACCCCCTCTTTCTTCCCCTCCCCCCGGGGGGATGCTCTACCAACTAATTTAAAGTAGACCTGGAGATAGAGTAGGAGTTTCAGTCACCCTGAAATGGCTTAAGTCGATGAGTGAACAGTGGCATGTGAGCGCAGGTTAAATCAGGAATATCACAGCCAAAAAATACGTCAAAAACTATACAATAAAATGACCCTATTAAATTGGAAAACCCCTCGTGTTTCTAATGAAATTTATGTTTACTTTTCACTTTAACAGTTACTAACGAAAGTGTGCGAGCACCCAGAGGCCAAAGGACATGTACCGGTGTCGGAGGCGATGTCAACGATGAGACTTCGGTTTGGCGAGCCGGTCCGGTTTAGGTTTCTCGTGGGTATGCTCAACGGTGCATGTTTGGATCTCATTTGCAACGATTTGAAGTTCATCAACGCCTTTGTTGAAACGTCACCAAATATTCAAACTAAGTTTTACATACAGGCCGAGTTGGATCAGGCTGGCTTCAAATTAGAAACTCTTCATAAGGTAAGTGAAAAAGTTGTCTATGTCACATCAGACCATCGTTATGAACTAAATGAAAGCTCTCTTGGTATCAATGCGAATTGAAAAATCAACTCAGCGTATACTAATTATGAATTATTCGACATTTTTTATGAATTGATTGATTTGGTATTAACTGTTCAATCCTTTTATGATTTGTATGAGTAGAATGATATGTTTCACGTAGAAACGCTCCAGGCTACGTCTAGGCTGAATGTGTTGATCTAGGATTTTTCCCACTGAACGACTGTCTTTCAAAGATAAATGTACAATATAGTTTCAATTTTTTAATCAGTCCCTACTTAGAAAAATGAAGAAGAAGAAAAAATAATGGCTGCCTCATATCGTCAAACAATTGAGCCGTTCGATTGCATAAACGATGATGCAAGTCTTAAAAATCTGGCCGGTAAATAGACTACCATAATCTCACACTCTCACGCCATCAGAGGAAATAATTTGTGATTGCCTTTTCAAAGGGCTCTAAAAACAAGCGCGGTTTTCCTTCTGAAATCTTTGTGTATAATTATATCTTATTTTATTATTATTATGTCCAGGGGGATATCCATTTCTACCTTTATTCAACAAAATAATGATAATCAACTCTTATTGATGACAGTCTAATATTAGTACATGCACGAATGAGAAAAAAAAAAAAGATTTCTTATAGCAGTTTCTTTTGCCCTCAAATTTTATTATGTTTATTTTTTGATAAACTCATCAGTTGTGCGATTGAACCATCAAACTAAATTGCTTACATTTTTTAAACGAAAAATAGAGCTGATCAATAGATTGTCTTACAAAATATTGTAGACATCCGTTACCAAGACGAAACCAATTTTTTTTCCAACTGCAGAAGAAGTGTAGATGATCTTTGGTCGTCATCAGTAGCGTGGCATGCTTGTAATATATCGATTGATCTGTCATTTAAACCCCATGGAAAAGGATCGGTAAACAGTGTGTTCGAAACCAACACCTTAATAATCGATTCTTTACCACAGCTTCAAATAGGGAAATGTCGATAATCGATCATTCATGCCTCGCCACTTCGTCATATAGTCTGCGATCATGAAAGGTGACTCCTTGTTTGCGAGTGAGTGAGCTAAGAAAATCGATCGATCCGGTATAGATTGTAAAATCCGGCTACGACGGTGTGGAGTGGGATTTCATGCGATCTGTGCGTGTACTTACAGCGTAACTTTCATTAGAAAGTGCGTGAGTGAATTCTCTCATCATTAAAGGCGGATCGCGTAGAATAAAATCCTGAGCACCAGCTGACATTAAACACCGGACAATTTGATCGTATTAAAAACCCGCCCAGCTAATTAGCCCGAGTTATGCGGAAGATATGTCATGGACTCATACGCCGCCAATGCAAAACTATTTACGTTTAGATTTTCCCTTCGTATCAGCTGCTGCCATGCTATGTCCGCTGAGCTTAACGCACAGTTTTGACATTTCTCCACTAAGAGAGAGGCTCCTCTTGGAGCTTATGAGCTTCTCAGTATTGCAACTTACGATAAACTGGCAAACGTGTTATGAGATCATACTTCAAAAATGTTTGCATATCCCTCCTTTACTTTCTTTTCTGGCAAAGAGAGTGCAAATTGGAGATATGGGAGTAATAATGGTTCAAAATAAATGACCTTATATGAATGACAGGTAAACATATCGATGGTGAAACTGCAGGAATACGTATCTCGGTTTGCAGCGTTGCAGATTTCCTGTCATACTTCATTTCCTACATGGAAAACTACTGAGCGTTATTTCTTGAAAATGTTAGTGATTTTTTTCGCTTTATAAAGAATATTCTGTGAAAGCTTCAAGTCATGATGTTAGTTCCCTGGTAAAAATTGGCGATAAGAGCTGTGTTTCAAAATACCATAGGAATTCTTATAGCCGGCTAAAGAAGGCTCCAGAAAATCATATTGCTGGCTGTAGAGTGCGGAGAAAATCATGCGGCCGGGCTATACGAAGCGATAAAAAATGATGCAGCCGGGCTATAGTTCCTATTGCCGGGCTTTACACTTTATCGCCTGGCTGTTGCTTTTTCGCCATCGATTATAAAAGGCTTTAAGAAATTGTGTAGAAATTCGTGTGCTTTGGAAATCATTAAGTTTGATACGGAACAACCTTAATATTTACAAAAAACACATTATATTTTCCTTTAATACATATTTTTTTTCATCAATTAAAATGAGAATAATCCATACAGGATGTGCAAACATTTCAAAATCATGAGTTGAATAACGCTGACTCCGCCAGATTAAATATTAGAGCCTAACACAAAGCGGAGCGGCGACGCACTGGCGCCTACAAACCTAACAGGGATACTTCACGCATTGCGCAACACGTGAAGTATCTCTGTTAGGTTTGTAGGCGCCAATGCGTGTTTCGCGCTGGCTGCCCGCTTGCCGCGCCGCAGCGTGCCACGGCGCTTGAAGCAACTATTTCACACCAGACGTATTGCACAGTATCATACGAAACTGAAGGCGCTCTAATATATTAGTAATGGCAGGCATTCATCGATAGTACGGAGCTTTCCTCGCAAAATAAATCAAAATACTACGGCCCAAAAAGAGAGCAGTATTCCAAAAACTCACTAAGTCCTAGCATCCGTAATTAGTAACGTTTAGCATACACTTTATCGCCTGGCTGTTGCTTAGTCGCCATCGGCTATATAAGGCTATAAGAAATTGTGTAGCCGGCTATAGAGGCTATTAGAAATCTTACAGCCGGCTGTAGGTCTATGGTATTTTGGAACATAGATTCTACTGCCAATTTTTACCATGGTTTGGTTTCCTTTTGAAAAACAAAATGGTAGCGAAGATCCCGAAATGCCGCAACCGATATAAGAATTTTTGCAGCAACTTCGATATGGCGTTTTGAATGTCTCAGAGTTGTGTAAAAAAAAAAAAAATCATTAAAATTCATTCAAAATTCCTCCGAAAGATTATCTAAGCAGTGATTGATTTTTTAATGAAACTTTAAATTGCCACGATTTCAATGATATACACAGTAGGATTTTGCACCCACTAATTTTATTTTTTAAAAAGAAGAAAGGAAAAAAATCAACTCTACTTTTGACCGCGAATTCTGAGATGGTACTCGATCCCTCATAAATCTACACATAGGGCGATTTGGTTGAAGTCCGGTTGGATGAATAGGAGCTCGATAAAATAAACCGAAGATTCTTCAAAATATAGCGAATAGTTGAAACGCTTAAAAACACGCGCTAGATTCATATCACTAAATTTTTGTACTTTGCCAATATCCTCCTCTCTCGACGCTGTATACTGCAAAGAGGATTTTTACAGAAAGTGGGAATAACTGATTGTGACCACTTACCATCTTAATAGAAAATAAAGAGACTCTATAAAAATTTTAGCCAGAAACTTGCACAAGCCTCAAAATCTCTGCGTAAGTGAAAGGAGTTGTTGATTAAAATCAGTTTCGAGCCGCTAATTACTCACTTCATTCGCTCCCTTAATTAGGCGGCCACATTAAAAAGTTGAGAGTTTATGAATACATAAAAAGATACGTATCGATGTCCAGAAGCTGTGTGTAATTGTTTTACCTCTAAATCAACCATGGGTATTCTTTCGAAATGCAAATGTAAGATGTAACTGGAACCAGCATCCATGGGCGCTAAAAACATAATAAAAAACTTGCTCTATTCTTCCTGATTTTGATTTGAAAGCTGTTCTCTTTTTTTTTAATTTTCTCCACAAATGAATACGTTAGGTATGAGCAAGTGATCTTTCACCGAACGAAAGCAAGAGCTGACCACAAAATTAAAAATGTCTCGTATGTTAACCCGAATAATTATTCTCTGATAAAAAATTCAACAACCAAAACTACTTTTACCTTGACAAAACACACTTTAATAATACTAAAAAGTCTCTCCTTCAAAACGAAGTAAGAAGTCACTCTCAGTTGAGAGCAACTGAAATGGATTTTTGGCGGCGTTCTGCCGGCATATCGAAACAGGACCATGTCCGTAATGAAGGTGAAAAGTAAAAAATCGTGCACGACGTCATGTCCAGGCAATTAGTATGGTATGGACATCAGTGGCGTGCGCGGCGTGCTTTGCGATATGTTGATTGATCTGCCATTTAAATCTATGGAAAAGGATCGATTATCAACGTGTTGGCAACGAACACCTTGATAATCGATTCTTTACTACAGCTTCAAATGGAGAAATATCGATAATCGATCCTTCACGCCACGCCACTGATGGACATGAGTAAAAAAAGTCGGAGGTTAGGTTGCCCAAACAAATTTTGGATTGGGCACCGCCTGGAGAAGGCATCGGGGATGTCCCATGAAGGGATGGCGACAAAACGTCGATGAGGAATATTATTGTATCGTCAGTTGCCCTATAACCTTTGGTAAGACAGAGGCGTTTAGGTGTTACAGTGCGCTAGTGTTAGTTAGTTAATTTTATTGGAAACATTCAGCATTTTAGGCTATAAGTGTCTTATAGCTACTAGTCCTCTCTTTAAAAGAGCAAATAACACTTAGAGATACGAATGAAAAATATTATTTCTATATTTCGACGGCGTAAGTCGGCAATCACATAACTCGGTTTCCGACGTCAGGGACTTCCTGTCATACTTTATTTTTTAAACGGAAAACCACTCAACGGCAATTCTTTAAAACTACCGTGATTTTTCTTCTCTGTGCGCAGAAAATTCTGCAAAAATTTCAAGGGAAGATGTCAATTGATTCTCCTTTAAAAAAAATAACATAGAGGCGGAGATTTTCAGATACCGCAAACGAAATATGTGATTGCGGACTTACGCCATCAATTTAGCCTTTTAACTGAAAAATCTCTCTGAATTATAGTTCAGTATTTTTTTTATTTAAATCTTAATTGCTTTTGAATGAATCGGATAGGTGCAAGTGAATATGCGTGTTTGATTTCAGAATCTACCGTGCTCTGACGTCATCAAGGCAGAGCTTGAGCGATGGGAGCGGAATTTCATCGACGTGGAATCAATTTTGATCAAGTCGGAGGAAGCAGCGAAAGAAGTGGTGGCTCTGCGCGAAAAAGTCGCTCAACTAGAGAACACGATAACGGTAATAAGTTGGTTGTTGGACGACTGGATCGCATGAATTAAAGAGTTATTCGCCAGTGTTGTCGAACATGATGGGAGCATTGAAGCATATATGAGGGGCTTGGAGGACAAGGCGCATAAGTGCAATTTTTTTAGAAAATAGAGATATTAATGAATTCAAGTAAAACTAGTCTTAATGCATGTTCTGTAAAAAATTAACTCTCAAATTCCAAGTTTTAAGCATCAAAAAGAAAGTTTGAACTTTCTTATGCGCCTTGTCCTCCAAGCCCCTCATATGTTGTTTTAAAATCGGAGTAGAATGTGGACTTGAAGCTCATATTCCTGGAGTTTATTCGGCGGGTTTTAAAAAAGTTTTAATGTAGTGATGTCATAAAGTAATACATTTTGACTGAAAACAATTTGGGTAGTATTGAAAGAAGCTTTATTAGAGGAAACTCCCTGGTCGACTTAAAGTGAATTTATGGCATTTAAGCAAACTAATTGAACTCCATTTTGCAAAATTAGGAATTACAATTTCAGGCTCATCTATAAAAGCACGTATCTGCATAGGGAAACTTGTGGCACATACACTGTTTTTGAAATGAGCCAGAAATTGTAGTTCCTAGTTGAAAAATTCAATCCAATTGGAATGAGCATGCCATTGATAACATTTGTGATTAACTGGTAGATAAAAGTAGGAGGTATTGACTTATTTAGAGATTATCGACTTAGATGAATTTGAACTTTTAAGTTATGAAATTTCCAATTCCAGGAACTTTATGAACTATATTAAGAACTTTTCATCATAAATCGGGCGATTGAATTAATATCAATTATTCAATCACTTCAGGCCGTCCTTGAATATACTGAAAGACATTTCTACGATTTTTTTATCCTCCCCTTTCCCCATGCCAGGGTCTCTTTTCCCCTCCTACTCTCCTTTTGAGGAGTTTGTTAGGCAGTCCTAATGCCTCTTCCTTTAAGTGCATAATGTCATTTGTAAGTTCAGCCATGTAGCACTGTAATTCGGTGATAGATTTTCAGTGATATGTGATTTTAAACACTAACAGAGACTACTGTTAAAAAGAGCCACACTAGAGAAAAAAAAAAAAAAAAAAAAAAAAAAAAAAAAAAACAACATTGGATCTGAAGTCCAGACTCTTAAAAGCATTGACAAGAAAAAATACTCTTGATTCTATCGGATTTTTGCTTGAGTCAAAACGAAATCCGCTTAAATTAAGAGGCTTGGTTCTTGATTTAAGCTAGATTCTGATTAAATCAAGAGCACTTTTTCTTGTCGATGTTTTTAAGAATCTGGACTCTAGATTCAATGTGTTTTTTTTTCCGGTGCACATTATACTGATCGATAGATCACAAATTGATCGCTTTAACCTTATCGTTCAATGCTTCTTACCTCTCAATAAGTCATGCAAGTATGATTCAAGTCTCGTTTTTTGCCTTTACCGTTCAACTTAGCAACGATGTGCAAACTACTCTAGTTTTGCCGGCACTGAAAATTACGTGTTCTGGTCCGGCAGTGACCCTTGAAATATCGACGCCGTTCGTCAAAAAGAAAAACAGCACTATCAAGCATACAATCAGGGGCTAAACGGGTCCAATCAGACCAGTCCTCGCATGCCGGCCGGATTCAAAACGCATGAGCAGCATATTAATCAGGATAATCAATTTATACGAGTGGATGACTCTTATTCTGTGATGTAATTATTATTCATTAGCGTCACGGAAAGTAACGGAAGTGGTCCCGTAAAAGGTTACATTGCAACCCTCACGGCTTTATCACGACTTGTCACTCACTTTTCAACAACTTCTCCAGAGGTTATCCACTCACGTTTCCCGATGGAGGCAAGTGAAGTCGTCACCTTCCGGCCAAAGCATCACAAACGCCATGCGACGTTTAAACATTTCCACCGCCCTTTTATTTTTTTACAGAGAAATTGTTCAACGAAGCTGCACGAACATTTCACTGAATTTTGCTTGCGCTGCCCAAAAAATTTAGTGGAATTTGCAAATAGACTCAAAACCAACAATTTTTCTGTGAAAAAACAAAATGATGGAGGAAATTTTTAAAAGTCGCATGACACTTGTGATACTTTGTCCGGAAAGTGACGAGGTATAATCTAGATTTTACACGATTACTCATGACGGAATTTCAGAATTCTTTCAAGAAAATGACAAAAGTGAAGATAGGATATTTTTAAGGATTTCGGTCTAATTATAGTGCAAATTATGTATAAAAAGTTGGTTTTTTGATAATACTTGTGGCCTTAAGGAGATTGTTGGAAAATTTTAATTTTCTTCGCTAACCATAATTTATCTTTCTTTTTTTTTTTT